TCTCTCTCTCTTTTTTTTTTTTTATTTAATTCTTGGGTTGATACTTGTAAAATGCCTATGGTGAGTAGCTTTATTATTAGTGTTTAGAATCCTTAGGAAATGACTACTTCTCAGAGATGTCTTCCAGGCTTTTGGGTGTTGAGCCTGTTGCAAGATCCTACCTCTTCAATTTATTGGGGATAAGAAGTTGCTGCATACCAGGTCCAGCTTCTGGTTCTTTGGCACTAGCCTCTAGTATTTTTGACTTTTAGGCAATCTTAGTCTTGGTATACTAGGAAGAACAACTGGTTAAAACAATTATGTTACCTTGGCTAAAGTGGTACAAGCAGCAATAATAATAGCATCAAACACAGCCTAGAAGGGCCAGGGATTGAGCTCAGTGGCACAGTGCCTGCCTGGCAAGTGCAAGGTCCTGAGTTTGATTCCTGTTTCCGAAACAAAACAAAACAAACAAACAAAAAAACCCACACAGCCTAAAAAATGACAAACTGAGGTAAATAGTAATTTGCCACTTTTAACTGTATGAACTGGATTTGTGGTTATACACCAAAATCTAAAACACACCAGAAAATTGTATGCAGTACATAAACCCTCAATGTGGGAATTTTACCCTTGGGGAGAAAATTTAAAAGAGGTTAGGAGGAAAAATAGAGAAATGAAGAGGAAGACATTAGAAGCAAGGCTGGATGACAAACAAACTTTGGGTAACTGGTGTAGAAGACAGGAAGGAAAGAGGGAAGGGAGAAATAAAAAGAACAGAACAGAACAATCACAAAAACCCCTAGAAACCATGTTCACACTCATAAAAACAATAATCAGTAAAGAAAAAAACAAAACACCCCCCCTCCAAAGAAACAAAAACCAACCAAACAAACAAAACAGGGAGAGAGAAAAAGAAAAGAAGAAAAATAAATGTCCACTTCTAGGTGTGTCTCTGCTGTCACTGGTAGGCAACATGGGGAGTCAGAGTCCAGATCCATGCTGATTAATCCTAGCAAGCCAGCAGTGGCTTTATGGAGGGTAGTGGCTAATCCCAGTAATCCTGCACCTTTATTCCTCCTGAAGTTCAGGTTGGTTTCTGGCTGTGAGGCTGGAACCTGACCTGTTCAGCCTGCAGCAGTGGGCTTGCTTTTTGTGAGCTTGAGCTCTGCTGGGGGCCACTAGATGGAGCCAGCAGTTGTTCTGAGTTCTGAGCTCAGTTGGCCCCTCTTCAAGATGGCTCCTGGCCAAGAGCTCTCCCACAGTACCTCTGAATCAGCACCACTTACCAGTCACTGCAGTTTGCCTTGTTCACTGCTCCCTTCCACTGGTGCTTCTCTCACTGGAGGCCTCTGGGGTTGCCAGCAGTCACTGTGTGTGTGCAGGTTTGAAACGCCCCTCCCATACAGCAAGTCCTGGCTCAGGGAGAAGACGCTGACCACCACACTGTTTTTCCTTGAGGTTTCTTTTTACTGTCCCTGTGGCCTTTAGTTTTCTCTTCAGATCCTTCCTGGGTCCAGGGAACCCCACTTTCCTTCTTTTCATTTTGCTATATTCCATTGTCTGGGCACCAAATCTTGGAGAGGCTCTGTCTGCTGCTTATCACTCTGCCATCTTCCGGGAAGTCAAAGAGAGGTCAGCCTTGTATAGTGGGTTACCAGAATTAGTGCCCAAGTCCTATTTCCTTATATGATTTCTCCTTGATTCATAGGTACCATTTTCATCTTTGGCACACAAAATTCTAGATATATAGCGTGTTCCCTTTCTGTCTTCTCTTTTTGCATTATTAACTACCAATTTGCTTTCCTCACTGTTCACTCTGTAGGAGTTGCCTAGATACCTCAGGTGCTGTTTCAGTGCTCCAGTTTCCCCTTTTATCTTTCATTTTTTTGATAAGCATTTGTTTATGTTCTGGATGGTTACCACCAACCAAATATTAGTACTTTCCTATATTTGTGAACTTACCAAACACAATATATGTTCTTAGAGAGTTTTTCTCTTTTTCATTTTTTTCTCAGAGAAATGAACATTTTTTTTTTTTTTTCTTTTGTGGCTTTTAGTATTTCTATAGTATTGACAAATGTGGTAGATTAACTAATGGTCAACTTGTAACAACCTCCTGAACTGAGTCAGCATGAGGATTGTTGCCAACAGCATAAAAAAAGAATTGGAGGGGAAGATGGTGTGCTGTTGAGTGTCCTGGAGAAGATTGTTGTGCTGGCTTTTCTGATATGAACTCCGTTGTTCTCATCATTGGAAGAGCTCAAGACCTTGCTGTTGCTGAGGATGGCTGTGGTTCTTTTTGGGGGAGCTCTGGTCCTTACCTTGAAAGGGTCACTTCCTGGCTCCAGTGCAGATCCATCCCTTAGCCTTCTGGCATAGATCCTTCATCCCACTGGTGTAGACTTTCTAGCTTCTACCATTGACCTTGCATGAGACATTGTTGGAGGCTCTAGGCCTCCAGTTGGACTTATGGGGCCATTGCCATGGGCTGTAGGTCTCCAGCTGGACTCATGCAGGACATTGCCTTGAGATCCAGGCCCTCAACTGTATTCTTTGGGTTTCTAGTATGTGGACAGATCTCCCATATTCTTTTGCATTTGACTCTTTGGGTGAATATTGTAAAATAATCCTATAAATTATGTGTCCTGTATTAAATCTATTCCCTTCTGTGCTCTGACCACTATAATGAATCTTGGCCCTCCCCTCTTTCCTGTTGATAGGGATCAAACCCAGGGCCTCCTGCATGTTAGACAAGCACTGTACCCCTGAGTCATATGCCTGGCCCCATGTCTTGTTTTTCAAATGCTGCATGACATAGATGCCAGTTATTTCTTCTTATGCTTGTTTTGTCTCTGTAATGTCCAGATTAGTATGGTGTGCAATTTACATTTGTGTATAATAGCTTCTGTATTAGCCTATTTTCTGTTGCTGTAACAAAATACACAAGGCTAGGTACTTTGTAAAGACCCAGTTTTTAATGTCACTCACAGTCTTGGAAGTCCAAAAGTATTTGTAACCTCTGATAAGGCCGTGGCTGTACATCATAGCATAGTTTATGGCTTCACATTGTGAGAGTATACCAGAGGGAAAGATGACAGGATGAGACAGGCAGCCAGAGAGATTTAAGAACCAGCCTTGATGTTTTAAAAATAGCTCGTGCTTCTTCTTTCTTCTTCTGTCTACTTTCATCCAGTACTGGAAATTGAACCAGGGCATTTACACTGAGCTACATTCCCAGACTTTTTTTTTTTGTTTTTTTAAAATTTTTGAGACAGGGTCTCACTAAGTTGCTCAAGTGGGAATTGAACTTGCGTTCTTTCTGTCCCATCCTCCCAACGGCTGAGAATTATCTCACTCTTGAGGGAATTAACCAAGGTCCTCTGAGAGGTACAAGATGCTTCTGAGCACAAGGTCCTCTGAGAGGTACAAGATGCTTCTGAGCATCTCTAGTGACCTCATTACCTCTCACTAGGCTTTACCTCTTCAACGTTCTGCCACCTCTCAGCATTACCACCTTGAAGACTAAGCTTCTAGCACTTGATTCTTGGAGACATACTGTCTCCAAACCATAGTAGTTGTTTAAAACAGAAAAGATATTACCTCATTTGGCTTTTTTTTTTTTTTCCATTTAATGCTGCTAAATTAAGCAACTTTGTGAGACCCTGTTTCAAAATAAAAAAATACAACAAGAACTGGAGATGTAGAGGCCCTGGGCTCAACCCCCATTATTGGGGAAAAAAAGCCCTCTTATGATATTGTTGGGCACCCTAGCGAACAGTAGGATGGAGGGTGATGGATCAGACTAAAATAAAGGCAGAGGGGGAAACACCGTCAATGCTTCATATTGTCCATGCTTCCTCTTAAGTATTTTTATAATTTTTCTTTGAAAACATGGATTTAGTTCCTATAGGCATATAAAGAAAGCTCTTAAGATTTATTTATTTATTTGTTGGTACTGGGAATCAAACTCAGGACCTTGCACTTGCCAGGCAGATACTTATGCTGCTGAAAGCTCTTAAGTTTTAATTTAGGGGTAATTGAGAATTAGAGTTGGTGCTATATTTGAATGACAGATTAAGAAAGGTATATTTAATTTTTTTTTTTTTTTAAAGACTAAACCTGGGCAGGTGATCACTTGAGCCCAGTTCAGGGCCAGTCTGGGCAACATAGTGAGACTCCCATCTCAAAAAAAGTTTTCTTTATTAGATATAGGAAGGGTGAGAATAAAGGAGAAAGGTAAGTAAAAAACATAACTAGAAGTATACTCATGACTAAATATATCCTATCAAAATGTTTCATGTAATCTTATAAGCCTTTTTCTTGTGGGGGTGGTACATTTTGTAATCAGTGTTCTGAGTCCTTTCATGTATACCAGGCTTTTTGTAAGAAATAAGTTTCTGGCTTTAGCTATTGTATCAGTTAGGGTTCACTAGAAGAACAGATTTATTGTAAAATACATAAATGCTAAATAAAGGACTTACAAGGTAGGCTTATAATGGCCATCTGCACAGTCATGTTTGAAAGAATGAAGAAGGGGCAGTCTGTATGCTGGAGAGCTGGGGGAATAAGTAAAAAGTCAAAGGCCTGAAGTTTACTGCAGAGTCCAGTGCGAATCTGGGTATTGGGTGCTAAAGGGTTTGTGCTGGAAGCCTGGAGACTTGACACTGAAGGCAGTGGTGAAGACTGGAGCTCCTCCAAAGAAACAGAAGCAAGACTTGCTTTTTCTTTTCCTTTTCATTCCATCCAGGCTTCAAATTTAGTGATTGGTGCCACCCACACCCAGGTTAGATCTTCCCTGTTCAGTAAGTCAATCATCCAGACACAGAACTGTGCTAAACCAATTCACCATGCTTTTCTTTTTCAGGTTGATACCCAATTAAGTATAACAGCTATTGAATGGGAAATAGAAAGCATTGGTACTTTTAAGCATAATGAATGTTGTAGAGATATTAAATATAAAGTTTCTATACTTCAATAAAGATACTGAAGACTTCTGTTTTCTTTTTTCCTCTTTGAAGGATGTGGTAACTGGACTTAGTCCTCTGCTCTTCAGGAAGCTCAGTAATCCTGACATATTTTCATCCACTGGAAAAGCAAAACTCCAGCGACAACTTAGTCAGGATGACTGTAAATTACGAAGAGGAAGCCTGGCCAGTTCTCTATCAGGTAAATTTCTGCTTTTGCTTAAAGATGGGAGACTGGGGTATCAGTGTTAGAGTGTATTTAGCATGTGTGAGGCTTTGGATTCAATCACCAGCAATCCCCCCCCCACCAAAAAGGCAGGACTATGTTGTCAATAAATTTAAGAGTGTATCAACTAAATATAAAACACGTGATTTAGTCTGTTTTTCTCTTTGCTACTTCCTTATCGATTCTGTGAATGCTAACTACCTAAGTGCAATAGGTATTCCTTCCTGTTTACTCTATCAATCTGGTTTTTATTTTCTTTACTCTCTTCCCACTTCTGTAGACTACACATTCTTTCCTTCTTTGGATTTCTATTTTTTTTAAATTTCTAAAACCTAAAGCCTATAGTGCTTCTTCACCTTCTCAAAAGAAAAGGCAATTTAAAAATTCAAGGAAAAAAATTACGCAAAGAAGTCTTGGTCCAAATAGAAAGCAGTACAATATAACATACTTTTAATTAGGCAGAGAGAATGAAAAAAAAGTATCTTTGACCATAGCTAAAAATAAAGATCAGTAGAGTAGAAAATGTAATCCTTTGTGTAATAGTTAACAATTTTCAACTTTTTTTTGCTTTCAGTTTCTTTTTGAAGCTATTCCCTTGGCTATATCTTCTCATTCTCCTATTAAATTTTAATTTTGTCAGTCATGATTTTAATCACATACAGACATGTCTTGTTTGGTTTTGCATAGAAGGCTCATCTTTTAGAAATGTGATTATCTTCTAGTTGTCAATGAGTAAATAGAGTTTTGAATTAAATTTTTCGAAAAACCTTTTTTTTTGGTCTTTTTTGAGACAGGGTTTTGCTATGTAGTTCAGGCTAGTTTGGAGCTCACTTTGTAGCCCAGGCTGGCCTCAAACCTATAATAATCCTTCTGCCTCAGCCTCTTAAATGCTGGGATTACAGGAGTGTGCCACCACACCCAACTAAGGTTTTGTGTTTTAAATTACCTGGATCAATTCTTTTTCTTTGGAGAACCTAAAAAGGAGAATCCAGTATTTTGTTCTGAAGCATTAAATCCCTTCTATCCTGTGAAGTAATTGCATTTCCAGGGTTGTACATTATGGATGTGGTTGTATTTGACTATTCTATATATGGAGTTTTCAGTTAATCTGATTTCAGCCTGCTATCTTGCTTTATGTATTTTTTTCTTTTTTTTTTTGTCTTTTTGAGAGAGGGTCTCACTATGCAGTTCAGGCTGGCCTTGAATTCACTTATGTAGCCCAGGCTGGCCTTGAACTCACAACAATCTCCCTGCCTCAGTCTCCCAAGTACTGGGATTACAAGCATGTGCCCCCCACACGCTTTATGCCTTTTTTAGGTCCATCCCTCCCTTCTTCCCTCCTCCCTGTTTTTTCTGTTTTGTTTTTTTGAGACAGGGTCTCCCTATGTGGTTTAGGCCTTGAATTTGGGATGATTCCCCCTCCCTCAGACTCCCCAGTGCTGGCATTAATAGCTGTGCACCACCATGACTGCCTCCCCCCCCCCCCGCCTTTCTTCCTGTCTTACACTAGAAATCTGTCCCAGGGCCAGGCACTTGGTATGCCATTAGGCTACATTACCATCCCTTTTTAGGTTTTTTAAAATTTTGAGACAGGGTCTTGCTAAGTTCCTCAGGCTGGTCTTTTGTCTTTTTTTTCTGGACTGGTAATCGAACTCACGAACTTGCGCTTGCCAGGCAGGCGCTTGTGCCGCTGAGCTATACCCCCACCCGCCTCAGGCTGGTCTTGAATTTGTAATTCTCTTGCTTTAGCCTCCTGCGTAGTTGGGATTATAGATGTGTACAGGTATGGTTATTTTCATTTTGAGTACTGAATCTAAGTTCATTTAAGGTTCAATTTACACAAATTGATACCTCTCAACTACAACCTCCTCTGTGCTTATTATAGTTTGTACCTTTCTTTGCCCAGTTCCATAGGTTATGGCCACCTGTTTGCTCTAGAGTTTCCAAAATAATTTTTTGTGAGGGTGGGATACAGTGCTGGATTAAGCCCCAAACTTCAGGCATGCTGTACATGTGTGCTGCCAGCAGCTGTACAAGTGTGCTATCTGCGAACTGTACTCTCAGCCCTTCCCAAAGTATTTTCACTTTTCATAGTCAGTCAGTACTGGTCTGTCTTTTTTTTTTCCCTCTCGGTACTGGGAATTGAACTCAGGACCTTGCACTTACGAGGCAGGCGCTTGCAGCACTGAGCTATATCCCCAGCCCATTTTTTTTTGTGTTGAGAATTTTTTCTTTTACCTTTTTTTTTCTTTTTAGTGCTAGTCTGTCTTGTATGGCCTCTATTTATTTTACTTCTTTATTCTCATTTTTGTGGAGTTTCTTGGAGGACAAAAGATAAAAACATGTGATTACTCTTATTTTATCTTTTTGGTGCTGAGGATTGAACCCAGGGCCTCACGCATGCTAAGAACATGATACTTTGAACTTTATCACCAGTGTTCACTCTCATATCTTCAACTAGGAATGCTTTAATGCTCTTCAACTATTATAATAGTGACTAGAGTGGAAGCAAAGCTTTTGTAAATAAGGGGGTGGGGAGGGGAATGGGAAAAAATGAATTAAGGTATATCAGGTACAGATACAAATTCCCTATGATAAATGTGATCATTATACATATATATCTGAAATGTACCAATAAAGTTAATTAAAAATAAAAATAGTAATGAGAATTTTTAGAAGTTATTTTTCTTATTTTACTAAAGAGCTAGTTCTATTTATTCATATTATTACCCCCATTTTGTGTTATATCCCTCAAATTTTTGGCTGTTTTTGGTGTATCTCAAGCCTTTACTGAAGTGGTTCCAAATGGGTTTTTCCTAAAGTTGTATAAGTATCTTTTCATAGCAAACCCTTATTTTGAGGAGAGATATGGTAGTAGCCTTTGTGGGTAGGTTCAATCAACAAGCTAACTTTCCTTTAGAATATACAGTATAGGTGAGCAGTAGGCAGATGGTCTAGATGCCCATACAACATTTGCAAAATGAAGAAGAGATGGTAGGGAGTCAGGGTGTATGATAGGCTCATCATCATCATCATCATCATCATCATTTTTTTTTTTTGTACTGGGAATGGAACTTAGGGTCTTGCACTTGCCAAGCAGGCACTTGTGCCACTGAGTTATATCAGTCCTATCATCATTTTTTTAGTGCTAGGGAATCAAATTTCCTTGTAAGGTTGACATTGTTCCCCGTGAAGTCAACACTAATCCTAACCATTGAGTTTGATTCAATTCTCACCCAACTTGTTTGCAACCAGAATTGTGAAAAGAATTAAGTTTGTGAACTGAAGTACCACAGTAAATATGTGTATGTATTTATATTTATATTTATTTATTCACATCTTGATCATTTTTACTCTCCCTCCACTGCTCCACTGAGTCCTTGCTTTCCCCACTTTTGCTAGAACCCTTCCCCATTTTGACAGAGCTTACCTCCTTGTTTCCTATCATCTCTTTTATTTTGGTCTTTAAATTGTTTATATTTTGGGTTTCTCGTATTAGAGAAATATTTAATCCCCTGTGTCTTTTTTTTTTTTTTTTTTTTTGTACCAGAAATCAAACTCAGGACCTTGCACTTACCAGACAGGCACTGCACAGCTGAGCTAAATCCCCAGCCCCTGATTCTTTTCACTTAGCATTATGGTCTCAAAATCCATCCATTTTCCTACAGATGACCCAAATCTATACATTTTTATGACATATATCATGTTTTCTTTATCTATTCATCTGTTAATGGGCATATAGTCTGCTTCTGTAATTTAGCTATTGTGTTATAAACAGAGTATACGCATTATGATAACTTTAAGTCTTTTGGGAAGAGAAGCCTTATTACTGGGTCAAGTGGAATTTCTATTTTTTGTTTTTAGAGGAGACTCCATACTGATTTCCATACTGGTTGTACTAATTTACTTTTGCCACCAATAATGTAGAAGGGTTCTTTTTTCCCTACAACCTCACCCGCATTTGTTTGGCAGCAATCAGCACCTTGGGTATGTTAGGCAAGTGTTCTACCACTGGGCTACACCCGCAGCTCCCTCACCAGCATTTGTTGTTTGAGTCCTTAATAGCTATTCTTCCTAGAGTAAGATAGAATTTCAGTGTTGTTTTGATTTGCACTTCTCTAATGGCGAAACATACTGAACATTTTTTCATTTATACTACTTGTTTGGGGAAGCCTCCATTTACAAATTGTCCAGTTTTTATTTGGTCTTTTATTTTGGGGGGTTGAGTTCTTTATAAATTCTAGATATTATCCTCTGAGGAGTAGCTGGAGAAAGTTTGTCTATTTATAGGTTGTCTCAACTCTATTGGCTATTTACTTTGTTGTGCAGAAGGTTTTGAATTTGATATAATTTCATTTTTTGATTCTTGGTATTATATCTTGTACAATTGGGGTTCTGTTCAGGGTTCTGTTCAGTAAGTTCTTGATTATGCCTATGTCTTCAAGTGGTGTTTTTTTTTCGAGACAGGGTCTCACTATGTAATTCAGGCTGCTCTTGAACTCACTATGTACAGCCTTGAACTCATTGTGATTCTCCTGCCTCAGCCTCCTAAGTACTAATATAACAGGCAAGTCATCATGCCTTGTTGCATCTTTTAAGTATTTTTATTTCATTTTGTTTATTTATTTATTTTTTGTCTTTTTGAGACAGAGTCTTGCTATGCAGTTCAGGCTGGCCTGGAGCTCACTTTGTAGCCCAGGCTGGCCTCAAACTCATAGTGATCCTCCTGGCTCAGCCTCCCAAGTGCTAGGATTACAGGTGTGCACCACCACACCCGGCTTCAAGTGTTTTTAACCAGTTTTTTCAACCAGCAGGTTCAGGGTTTCTGTTTTGTTTGTTTGTCTTTTTGAGACAGGGTCTCACTATGTAGTTCAGACTGGCCTTGAACTTATTATGTAATCCAGGCTGGCATTGATGGCAGTCCTCCTCCTTCAGCCTCTTGAGTGCTGGGATTATAGGAATGTACCACCATGTCC